ATAAAACTTCAGAGGGACCGAAAGTGTAAGAAGAAGGAAAAAAAAATCAAGAGCCAAAAATTAAAAGGATCCACTTGGACTGTGGGGGGTAGCTACACCCCAAGATCTCAAGTGGTTCCGCCTCTGAACACCATACTTTGTATCGAACTATCGATAATTAAAAAGAATAATGCTTACCGCATAAATTCCATAGAAATATAATAATTTAAAAGAATTTGATAAAAATCTAACGGTTCAGAACCACGTCCATGTATGTTTTTCTGTAGCCTACCATATGATTCTCAGTTCACATTAAACTATAGAGTATAGTCTATAAACATAGTAGTTTAAGCTCATAGAATTCCATATGCACGCGCACGTCACGTGTTCAATATACCCCCTTGCAGCAAGTATTTACTATTTGGGGTTATAAGGGCTCTCCCACCGGCCACAAACACAATATTATTTATCTTAAATTAAGATTAAAATTACATGCTGGCAAATGGGCAAATCCAACTAAGTGGCTTCTAAGAAACCTCGGTAATGAATAAAATGGTAGGTACAGATTCGGCAGTTCTGAAACACTGAGATTTGGATCGTATAGCTAGAGACGTGCCATTCTCATGGAGCGTTGAGAAAATGGCCAATCATGCAAAGAGAAAACCCTCTGGCATTTGGTCTTTTGACAGACCGACAAGGTCGCATTAATCAAGGGTAGGCATTAGCCAGCTCAATTGCTTTGGCATCAGTGCCCAAAGCAAAAAATAATTATAATTCTAACAGAGAGAGATATTTTGGTTTTTTTATTTTTATTATTAGTTTGGAATTTTTTATCAAGGATCATTTTGCCACGATCTTCAAGTAGTTATTACAGATTTATATAATATTATGGTAGAGTATGAAAAGATTATATATAAAATTTTAAATTTGTCAATCTCTATTAAATTCATTTTAATTTTATATATTTATTCATTTAAATGTTTCTGATATAATCTGACGGTTCAAAATTATATTTGGGTATCTTCTATAAAATTTTTCATCATTTAAATGTGCTATCTTGGATAAAAAAAATGTGTTGTACACATTTAGGTGCGAGGCACAATTACCCTTTTCATTTCCTTGAAAAAATTATAGGAATTTGCTATCTTGGATAAAGAAACAATGGTCTTTTGCTCATTTTTGTAGTGAAAAAAAAAAATTGTGCATAGGGGTACCAACGGTTAATTTATATGCACATAGAAAGATGTTCAAAACTTCAAATGGCTCTAATCCGGCCTCCAAATTTTCAGGCAAATTTTCTTGTTTTGTGAGATATTAGATCATAGACAAGAAGACTTGGCTAGAATATATATATATATATATATATATATGTATATATATAAAACTAGGATACATTTTTCTTTAAAAGAAAAAAATAATGTAACTTGACCTTTTAACATGGATCTAATATTAGAATGTTAATTTTGTCATCTAGCAAGGTTGGGGGAGACATTGCTCAGATATTGATGAGGAAGCATGCTCAATACAAAGCACAAAAGAACAGAAGCCTCTAAATATAAAACAAATAAATTATAAAAAGGAACTAAGTTTTGCTGTTTTTAGCTGAAGCGCCAATTTGCATGTATTCGAAACAATATTGGGTTAATGAATAATCATGGGTTCACGTAAAACATTATTATATTTTCCCCTTGTTTTGTATGTGATTGGAGAATCGTAAAGGCGATTCTGGCTCTTTTCATGCCCTTTAATCAGACAGAATTAGCAGATTGCATGCATCAAAGATTTAAGGATTCCAATTTCCAATTCACTTGCTTGGTGATAATGTCGGTTATATTATATGTATATACATAGATAATATAATAATGATAGAATAGTTTGTGGTCCTTGAAGCACAATTTTCAAGATTAGCATCGTGATAAGGAAGAATAAACAGGTTATAATCACCATTAATGCACCACGGTGTGTGTCTCCAAAGTGAGAGAGAGAGAGAGAGAGGACCAAATTAATTGGCCATGTCAATGCCAAAAGAGAGGGTGCTCTCTAATTAAGAATTGAGAAATTATGGATTCTCATAAGGTAATTATGGATGAGATCACATGCTTCATGGCATGCAATTGATTCCCTTAATAAAAGCTAAAATACACCAAAAATAGAAGAGAGAATTAGATAAAAGAGAAAGATCTCTCTCTCTCTCTCTATCTCTATCTTTCTCTCTCTTCAAACCACATGCTTCCTGGGGACCATCAAACTCTCCCCCAAAATATTAGAGCTACCCTCCAAGAAGAGCATGAGAAGATCCCAAAAAGTAATACAAAAAGAAAGCTGTGTTCCTCTATCATATCTTACTCCTTACTAAACTACAACTCAAGTGCCCTAAACCCCAGAAAAGGAGAATGCATAAAAAATGTGGCATTTGCATGCTGGATTCACTTAAAACTTAAAACTTAAAAAATAAAAAAAAATAAATGTGCATTTGCATGCTGGATCACAACTACCTTTGCTTTAAAAGAACATTTCATGCCTTGGGCATTGCATGTTTCCTTGCTTTTCATCTTAAATCTAGCTAGTAAAACCCACCAATATTAAATATTAATTAATACTACTTGGAAGAAGATGAAATGAAAAAGGGTATGTATTTTTGGCCTTTTGAGTACTGCCCATATTGTTTTTGTGATAAAGGAGCACACTTATTTCATTTGGAACACAACTGTGTGGATAACTACTACTATTAGCTGGAATATTAATTAGAACAATAGACTTTAAATTGTTTCAAAATCATGATTGGCAAGTCCTTGAATTGCTAGGATCATGATCAATGAGATGGAATTATTTAATTCTCTTCGATGAAAAATATTTATGATATTGATCGTGATCAATAAAACTTTTATTTAAAGTGTCACATTTAGTTGTATGACTATTTCTATTTGCATGACATATTATTTTCCAGCCTGGCAAGAGTGTACGGAACAGTATTGATTTTAGAAGGAAATTAGGCTAATTTTTTGCTAAGAGAGGCTGCTGATCTAACTGGTCAGTTAATTAATTATAATTAGAAGAGCGTGCATGCAAATTGCTGCCGTAATTGGCAATACATAAATTATATTTATACTAATATAAAACATGATCAAGCAACCACATTGGCTAAGCTTACAATTTGGCCTTGAAAATGGCAAAAAAAAAAAAAAAAAAAAAAAAAAAAAACTCACAAAGACGTGTGTATTAAGTTTCTGATCTGTATCAAATTGGCATAACAAATTAGAATTTTAAAATGTGTGAAAAAGTTTGCATATCCAGTTCTTTGGTTCCTATAACTTTCCTTCTAGTCAACTTAAATTCAAAGTTAACTTATTATTATATGATTCATCCTCTAGCCGTTAATATCACACACAGTTTTGAGGTTGGAACCTTGACTATAGCACAGGAAATGCAAGCTAGCGACTCTCCATTATGAAACCTACACAGGATTGCTAATCAAACAAAAATGAAACAGAAATTTTAGGCTCCTTCATTCAAGACGTGAGGCATGTGCCATTGTTTAGCCTGGTTAGAAGTCAATATTGGCGTTCATCAAAGGGGGAAAAATATTAAATATATATATATATATATATATATATTGAGGAAAAAAGAAACGTTTATCTTTCGTTTTGTTTTACAGCTCACAAGTGATCATGTCTAAATCTTGTGTATTTCATTTTTTGTGTTGTTTATGGTTTTTTTTATCATATTTCAAATCCAAAATAAAAATGTGATTATTAAAAGAAAAGGAATATATAAAAAAAAGTTGTATCCAACAGAATCAACTTATTGATTAAGTAGCATGAATACAATATCCTTATAAGTTGGCATTTATTGTTATGAGTAAAATGACGTGGGATTCGGGTTTGTTTTTACTTTTTACACGCCTAACAAGGTGGTGCTATTTTTAGAGTCTTTAATCTTGTATATGAGATGGATCAAGTCGTTCATTTGAGTTGGTTTTTTAACTTGTTAAGTAGAGTGGTCCAATATCTATATAAGTTGCTGTTTATTACTATTTATAAAAGATTTGAGACTTGGGTTTATTTTTACCTTTTAGAGTAATTACATTAGAATTTCATAGTACGATCGTATAAACATTTTGGTTGAATTACTTTTTAAATAAATAAATAAATGATCACACTATATAGGCTAATTCATTATGATCCCTTAAAATTACCAAATGTCATATACTGATATACATAATGGGATTGGTGTCTTTATAACATTTGTGTCGATCTATAAATTTATTGATTTTTACAACATCATTGTTTAAAGTTTGTAAGAATATCGCTCAAATATAAAAGATAATGTATTCCCTTTAAAATTCACATGCCTATCATGGCTTACTAATTCTCGAGTTCACAAATTCATATATAAAATACGTAAATTATCATATTCTCGATATTAATGTTAAGAATTCTTCTTTCGGCATCATAAAAGAATCCATGTGATATATTGTCGTATAACATGGGCAATATATGATTCTTCAACCAAGGAGGTAAATAAATGAAGCACAGTTGAATGAGATATAAGGCGGTTAATAAATTTCTAAAGGAGAGAAGAGAGACAGTACAGATCAGAATTATGGTCAGAGAATGGTCAGCAACAACATTGACTTGTGATTTTACAAAACTGTGTAGGAATTCAGTAGACTATACATTACATTACAATACATACATATCCGAGATATATATATCTAAAGAGAGAGAGAGAAATACAGATTGAAAGAAAGAGGAACAGAGAGAGAGAAAGGGATGGATCAGCTACCCAGTTGTTAGCCATTTCTTTAATTCCTAGACTCCAAAAAAAAAAAAAAAAATACACGACTTACATGCCAAGGCAAAACACTACAAGTAAACAAAAACAACCATGGGTTTTTCACATGCCCAGGTTCAATATCCTTTGGTGAAAAACCAAGGACATGTTTGGATGGGTGGTAATCTTTTTTTTTTTTTTTTTTTTTTTACCTCTAATTAATTAGAGGGCAAGGCATCAATGGCGGGTATTACATTTAATCAAAGAACCAAAAATTAAAAAAAAGAAAACCGCCCCAATTAAGCCAAAATCAAAATGCTCACACACGAAATGGAAATTGGTGTGTCCCTTTAGCAAGTAGGGCCAAAGGGGTCCACTTCCGCCACGTCATCGTGATGATCCAAGGGCTGGAAAATAATCGGCGCGCCGTGCTGAGGATAAAGAAGCATCAGGACCGTCGGAGCGTGCTGGTAGGTGGGGGCGAGCCTGAATCTGAACCGTTGAAGTATGATGGCGAGTGCCAGCTTGGCGTGGAGAACGGCGAGATTTTGGCCGATGCAGGTCCGGACCCCGAGGCCGAAGGGGATGAAAGCCACCGGGTGCTTGGCGGCTCGAGCCACGCCGTCGGCGAACCGAGCCGGGTTGAACTCGTTCGCGTCGTTCCCCCACGTGGCCTGATCGTGGTGGACGGCCAGGATCGGGATCAGAAGCTCGGTCCCACGCGGGATCTTGTACCCACCCAGCTGCACGTCCGTTTTCGCCCGTCTGATCGTCGCGATCGTCGGCGGGTATAACCGGAGTGATTCGTTCAGTATCATGCTCAGCTGCACATGGAATCAAAACGACCCCAAAACCGTTATTACCAAATGACCAAAATACCCTCGTCACGACAAAATCGTTTCTCGTTTGTGCGTGCTCATCAAAATGACGAAAGTGCCACTTCATTTCCAACAGGAACATTTATAAAACCGCGGGAAAAGAAAAAAGAAAAAGAAACGAAACGCGTCGGGTAGGAGACAAAAACAGGAAAAATATTTTTGTCGTAGAGCATACCGTCTTGAGCTTTACAACATCATCCTTGGTGGGGATGTCACGTGCTCCACACACCCTAAGCACCTCGTCACGTGCCCGTACCTGCCATTGTGGGTGCATCGCTAGCAGAACCGTTGTCCACGTCAGCAGGTTGGATGTGGTCTGTTTTCCCGCAAAGAAAAAGCTCTTGCACTCCTCCACTATGTCTTTCTCTGTTATCATGTTCCTCGTCGACCTCCACGACGCCTCTATCATCAGTCCCAATAAATCCTTTGGACTACCACTTGATGATGATGAACTTGATGATGATGATGATGATGATGACGACTCCTCTTTCCGCCGTTTGATCAGCTTCATCAGTGATCCCTTTATCTCCTTGTCCAGCTTCCATGATTTTATGTTCCTTTGCGTCGGTAGAAATCTGCCCGTACATTAATATTTTACCATTAGAAACAAGAATGTCGATGTTTATTATGTGTAGAAGATATATCATGTAAATATATGTGTGTACGTAATTAATTACCTATAACCAGGGACGAAGACTTTCTGGAATGCATCGGAAGCGAGAACCATTTGTTGGGCTTGAAGCCTGAAAATTGCTTTGCCATCTTCGTAGCTGCTTCCGAATGCTGTTCTGGTTATAACTTCTTCCGTTAGGGTTTGGAAGCATTCCGAAACTTCGATTTCTACCTCGCCGGAGTTCGACAACATGGCTGACCAGTTGTCCAGCATCTCCACCACACTTTTTGCCATCACTGGTATTAAAGCCTAGAGTACATGTACAAACATAAAATTACCAAACACAAAAAAAAAAAAAAAAAAAAAAAAAAAAAAAAAAAAAAAAAAAAAAAAAAAAAAAAAAAAAAAAAAAAAAGTTTTTTGTCTTTTAAGCATATTGTAGGTACAAAGAGTACGAAATAAATAATAATACTAAGAACAATGCTATTTATCACTACTGTATATGTAACTGTGCTTACTTTAAGATTCTCCATATGGAAAGTGGGGGTGATGATTTTCCTATGGTGAGCCCATTTTTCGCCTTTGAGACTTAGGAGACCGTCGCCTTCGAGCTGCTTGATAAGCGGGTGAGCCTCATTTTTCTCGTAGAATTCAGACTTGGAAGTGAAAATTTCGCGAATGAGGTCGGGGTCGGAGACGGCGAGTCGACCGGTGGGTCCGAACCACACTAGGAATGTCGCACCTGCCGTGAGGGAATTAATTAATTAATTTAAATTAGTATAGAGGCGGTTACGGGACAGAGAAGTAATTAATGAGAGAATAAAATGCAAGTAAAGTAAGAAAAAAATTAAATGTGAATAGTGAACGTTACATTAAAGACATTAATAAAAAGAAAAGAAAAGAAGATCAATATTTTGTTTTTTAACAGAAAATGTGACAACTACTACACTACCCTCGAGTGGTAAGTATCAAGTTTAGTGAAAGATAAATAATGAGAAGGAAATATGGTAACCATTAATTCAGAATGAACATGGATAGTGAAGACCCTACAATGAAGGAGAGAAATTAAGAGAGAGGAGAGAGAAAGAGAGAGCAAGAACCAAAATGAAAGTAGGAAGAAGACAACTCCAAACTATTAATACTACCAAACGTTTATGACTTCATTATTATTATGTATATTCATGACCCCAGATGAAACAAATGAAAAACGACATAGAAATTAATAGAGAGAAATTAAAAAATAATAATAAAATAACTGAAAGTCTGAAAGCTTCACCACTCTCCCTCGGAGTTGAAGATGATGATCAATAATATCAACTTATTTGGAAAGAGTATATGCAATAATATAAAATATGTATAGAACACATGGGACAAAAGTAATATGTTTTATTGTTACCCTGCCAGGACAGTGATTATAAGTACAAATGTCACTTTTTTAATGAACCAAACCAAACTACTAATTTTTTTTTTCTTGAATTTTCCCGGAAGAAGAAGGAAAAAAAAAGCAAAAAAGAAAATGAAGAGAGGAAAATAAGGAAAAGAACAGGTGCGAAACAGTCCAAAATCTGAACTTCAACATCAAGCACCCCAAGCTCAGAGAAAAAAAAAAACACAAAAGCCTGAAAAAGTCTTAAAAAGAAGTAGCCCAAAACTCAAAAAACAAAGACGCCTTTCCAAAAAGCCAAAAATCTAGAGGATCATGATCATGGGAGATAAACAAACAGAACCCCAGAAACTTTAATGATTAATACCAAGACTCCTCTCTTAATCAACACAGCCCAAACAAAGAGAAGAAAAAAAAAAAAAAAAAAGCTCCATTAATACCACATTAACCAAAGCATTTACACTTAACAAAGCTTGTTTTTCGTTTTTTGTCAAAAACCAAAATATATGGGCAATTCATGAAAACCCGGATGCTAAAACTCTTGAAAGATTCAAAAAGAGAAGAAAAAGAGAGAAAATGTACAAATAGTATATATATAAATATATATATATATGTATGTATATATTACCATAGATTTTTTTCCAGTGGTGGTAGAAAGAGAGAACTCTAGGGAGAATGTTGTGAGAGAAATTAGGCATGGGCTGAGAAGAGGCTTTGAGCATCATAGCAACGAGTTCCTTAACATTCCCAATGAAGAAACGGTAAGGAGGTCCTCTGATCCCTTGCCTTGAGAAATGATCTTCGATTTTTCTTGGTCTCCACCAGAGAAGCACTACCATGTTGAGAACAAATACTAACCCCACGAACGCAATGAAGACAAGCTTTAGCCAAGTGAAGATCATTAGCTCCTCATCAACCATGTTTAGAGGAAAGATAAGGAAAAAACAAAAACAAAAAAAAGAACTTCAATAAGTACTTTTTTTTTTTATAGATATAACTTCTCTCTGGTTTCTCTCCTTTTATAATCTGGAACAGAGAAGTTATAGTATAAGTACTACTTTTTCTCTCTTCCCTTTCCTTTGCTTTTTTTTTTTTTTTTTGGTTTTTGTTTTTTGGCTTCTTATCTATCTGCTTTGCTTATGTTTGTTACTTGTTTCTTTGTTCAGTGTCTTGGCTTTTTAATAACACGAAGAGAGAGGAGAGAGAGAGGTTTTTGGTTTAAGCAAGGCCAACGGCGTAGGGGCCGCAATGGCAATTCAAAGGACGGGTCAACGAGTGAGAGGGGATTTTTTAGTCTTTTTAATACCTTGAAGACAACAATGCCATTGTCTTTTCCTATTAGTATTATTTATATCCATTTTCTTTTCTTTTTCCAAAAATGAAATATGGCCTTTTATTTTGAAGTTGTTTTTTCTATAAAATAAAGAGGGGAATTCTTTTCGAGAAACCCAACTTTAAAAAAAAAATAAAAAAAAATAAAAAAAACCAAGAAGATATAGTAGCATTGTGTGAGTGACATTCTAATGTAAGAATGTTCCCAGCTTATGAAACGTATTTGATTAATTAGTATTTAAAAATAATTCTTAATTTGATGTCCTAGTTAAAAGAAAAAAAAAACTTTGCTAAAGCTGCTTCTTTTCTCTAATTGAATGTTCCAAACTTATGAAACGTATTTGAGTATTTTACATAATACATAATTTGATGTCATCATTATTAATAACGTATGCGCTCATTAATTACCCTTCCAAAAAAATGCTAAAGCCGCTTTTTTTTTTTTTTTTTTTACTTTATGGGAATGCTTCTCTTCTCTAATTGAATGTACTTGCTAGGTACTTCCAAAAGAAAAATTGTATGTACTTCTAGATGCGAGGAGCTTTTTGTAACTTGATACTTCTTCTTTTTTCTCTCCTATTTAAGGAATGATTGGAGAACAGAGCAGCATGAGGTGTATATAATTCACATCTATAATTTTTGTTTATATATTTCTACAATGATACTAAATTCTATTAAAAAAAAAAAAAAAAAAAAAAACCACGTATAGGAACGGTTAGGTTAGCTAGGATCTTCTAGATGATTATAGGTACTGCGTTTTCCTTTCCCTTCTTTTTTGAAATGGGATGATTATATTTGTAATGTGTTGTAATAGGGTTTCTTTTTAAATGTTGTCCATTAACAATACGAATCAATGATTTTGTATAGTTATGCATGCATTCTAAAATTTGGCTCTTCTTTAACTACCTAGTACAAATTATCCCCCATACCTTTAGTTACATTATATATATATATATATATGTGTATATATGTGTGTGTGTTATATAAATATTGCCAGTTGCCAATAAGAGCTTTTGTGTTGTTTTTATAATTTTTCCGATTGGATATTACCTTGAAGCTTATTCAACTCCAAGTACACCAAATATGTACATATACGTATAAATAGCTCCAATTCGATCGTTTATCTTTTGCGTTTTTGGAAATAGAAATAGAAATATTGATTAATTATATATTCAGACAGCCACTTGCATTTAATAAATCTATATATTCAGAACCATAAACAGATATGTAAACTATCATTCGACGTTCACCACATTTATTGATGAATGGTTAGTAATATTTAGAGAATTGATAAACCCGAAAGTATGTAAACCCCACATAAGTAAACAATCGCATCTAAAAATAAATGTTTGATAAAGATTTATTGGGTCAACTTCATGACTTCATTCATTAAGAATAAATAAACAATAGCTCTTGCATAAGTATATTGATTTTCAAAATAGTGGTAAGCAAATAAAGAAAAACTCGCAATGACTTTCTTTAAATTCTCGTGACAAGACAACTTCTCTACTTAATTTTGCAGCAGCTTTTTCCAACCTGTATGACATTAATGAGAATATTTAATTGGGTCAACTTCATGACTTCATTCATTAAGAATAAATAAACAATAGCTCTTGCATAAGTATATTGATTTTCAAAATAGTGGTAAGCAAATAAAGAAAAACTCGCAATGACTTTCTTTAAATTCTCGTGACAAGACAACTTCTCTACTTAATTTTGCAGCAGCTTTTTCCAACCTGTATGACATTAATGAGAATATTATTAAAAAAAAAAAAAAAAAAAAAAAAAAAAAAAAAAAAAAACTTGAAAGGGGTTATGGTAATAAATACTTTGAAGATCATAACATATTTGTACTAGCCATTAATGCTAACTTCTAAACCCAAATTGCGCAAAAGGAATAAGAATAACGGTCTTTCTCTAGTGGACTCTTTTCATCATATAGTTTTTAACTATTAAATTTTATTAAAATTACATCATATTAAAAAAAATATGTAAAATAAACAATTTTTTTAATACAGATGTTACAAGTAGAAACAAAATCTTTCCGGTAGGATTTTTTTTTTTTTTTTTTTTTGGTTTTTTTTTTTTTTTTTTTTTTTTTATGTAAACTCCCACAATTATGATCTAATTGTTCAAAGATGAATGATCAGACGTGAAAATCTTACAGTTCAAAACCATTGGTCGTAGAATTTGTCATATTTCCCACATAATAACTTCCTCGAAAAGGGAATGTGAAAATTATATATATAGAATGTGGAAGGGACTGGTAGTATATATTGGTCCTTACCTTCTTTTTCTTCTTCCATTCCAATATTGTTCCCAAAAAGATTGATTTTGGGAGAGAGAGAGAGGGGGATTAGAAAGCGAAAGAGAAAGAGAGAGAGAGGGAGAGAGAGAGGGCACAAAGTGGGTTGTGGTTTTGGAATGTTGCTCTTAAATTTGTGCACATGGGAACAAGGCTGTCTATTTTGAGGCTTGTTTCTGTGCTTTAGGTGGGGAAATATGCTCTAGTTGACCCAACAAAGGCGTACCCACGCAAAGGCACCCTTCCCTAATCCTGTCTTAATATACCCAAAACATGTTGGGGCCATGTGCCCCCTTCTATGGGCCCTACAAAATTTAAAACAAACTCTCAACAGTTACACACACATACAACACACAAATATAACACAAACTCGCAGAGAGTCATGCCATATTCAGCACCATCGCCAATGGTGGCTGACTTCTACCAATAAAGTTAAGTTTCATTTCAATGCCCAAATTTGGACAAATTAAAGTAACTGTTCACTTTGTTTGACCTCTACATTCCAATTCCTCCCATCAATTTCCGGTATGTATTTTGCTACCTTCTTGTATAGCACAACGGCTATGTATTTGGAAGCACCAACAGAACCCACATATTTCGCGCTCAATATATATCTGTATATCTTGCTGGTGATGGAAAACCAATTTTTGTGCAAGAAATATTTGTTGGGTATGTGGAGTCTAAGGCCCGTTCGTTTCGTTAGTTTGAGTTGAGAATTTGAGTTAAAAAGTGAATTCATGTTAGAGAAAATACCGTCGCAGAAAAAGATAAATTTAAATTTTTGAACAAAAAATAGTACTGTAACAAAAAATTGAGTTCTAATTTAAACTAGCAAAATGAATAGAGCCTAAATATTGTGACGACGCATATATAGCTAACATGCACTTGGTTATTGTGATATTTTGCAACGATAAATGGATGCAACTCTAACATTGAGAATGAATCACTGTAAATAAATCCCGCTCCGTTAATTTCTGTTCTTTTTATTACGATGAAGCTAGTCAACTGTGAACAGATCAACTCATCAGTTTGTCGCAGTATATGTATTTATATATGTATGTATTGTGTTGTTTATTGTTGATTGTTGGAGTGGTCGATTTGCTCTTAAAAAATTGTTGGAATTTGAGAGCAAATCGACCACTCCAACAATCAACGATAAACAACACAATACATACATATATAAATACATATACTGCAATGTATTTGGAAGCACCAACAGAACCCACATGTTTCGCGCTCAATATAAGTCTGTATATCTTGCTGGTGATGGAAACCCAATTTTTGTGCGAGAAATATTTGTTGGATATGTAGAGTCTAAGGTCCTGCTCGTTTCGTTAATTTGAGTTAAAAAGTGAATTCATGTGAGAAAAAATACCGTTGCAGAAAAAGTTAAATTTGAATTTTTATGATAGAAAACACTGTAGTAAAAACTTGAGTTCTAATTTAAACTAGCGAAATGAATGAGACCTAAATATTGTGATGACGCATGTATAGCTAACATGCACTTAGTTATTGTGATATTCTGTAACGATAAATAGACGCAACTCTAACATTGAGAACGAATCACTGTAAATAAATCCCGTGTGCTCCGTTAATTTCTCTTCTTCTTCTTGTTTTCTTATTCACCATGTCATGATTTGAGCTTAGAGAACATGTATTATAATGGATAGGTATTATTAAATACTAATGTTTTATGCTATCAATGTGGTATAGTGGTGGTAATAGAACGCATCATTCTATGTTTGTCCTTGAGGTGTAGAGAAAAAGCACGAATTTGTAGAATTCAAGGAAGATCTGAGCTAGTCCTTGAAAACCCTGTTCATCATGTAGCTCTAGTGCTGCAAAATGAAAGTTCAAAAGCAAAAATATAGAGGGAATCAAGGGCTGGGCCCTTTTTTTTTTTTTTTTCTCCTCTTATAATTACTTAACAATTTTCTCTGCAAAACAAAACATAAATAGAGAGAGAGTGAGAGGAAAAAAAAAGGACAAAAGTAGAATATTATGCAATCTCTTAACAAAGTTGTGGATTTTTCGAAAGTGACCAAAATAATCCAACCGAGAAAGCCTGCAGCCGATAAGGTACCTTTGCTTGTAAAACTTGTGTTTCTGATCTTTTCCCCCTTTTTTTTTTGTTTTTTGTTTTGTATTGTTTTTTTTTTTCTTTTGTTTTTTGTTTTTGTTTTGTTTTGGAACTTGTATGCTAATATAATTAAGTTTGTTAAGAGATTCCAAGAATATATTCACAATGCTAATTGTCTCATTATATATCAAGCTTCTAACGGC